ACTCTACAAAACCCTCCACCCCTCTACTTCCTCCCCCTCGCTGCTCTCGCCACCCTACCCAACTCGTGTCGCCTGAAAAAGGCGCCAAAGAAGTGTGTAATGACGTGCCAGCTGCCTTGACCTCGACGGTCACTCGGTGTTCGACGTGAGAAAAGGCCAGGCGCCAGCAGAGCTTGTGTTTTACGCCCAAGGGGCCCCCGAGCAGCTTCGTGGTTGGAAATAGCAAAGTTTATGACAAAAAGAGATTGGCAACATGATCGACACATCCGGAACCGAAGGATCCTTGGCAAATATGGTTCCTCCAGGGTGTGGAAACGAGCGAAACGAAACGGAAAAAGAAGGTTCGGGTTGGTGACCAAACGTTTTTAGCAAAACGGAACACAAGGGTTTGGTCGGCCAAAGCCAAGTGAGGTCGTTTTGCTAGTCTTTCAATTGATCTACTTGAAGGAAAGCAGGTCAGATTTAAGCGTCTTCTACGGCAAACGAATCGCCGGCATGCCAGAATCCTCGTACATACTTTCCCGTTTTACCGTTACCCATAGTTAGATGCGCGCCAGGATGCTAACGTCACCACCTTAAGCTTATACATCAAATGAAGCTTGAAAACAGATCCAATTCTGATTTGTCATTCACCAGGACCACCACCGCTACCCGCATTCATCTGTGAACGGCAAGCCTCCAAACAAATTCACCAAGCGTGGCCCGGCCTAAGTGGCCCTCTGCCTCACGGTCCTTACTGCTGAAGGGGTTGTAGCCATCGTGCCTGCGCAGAAAATAACTGGCGCAGGTCAGCAAAAGCTCTATGTCTTTGCAGGACCGGACTACCAAAAGAACTTTGATCAAAGATCAACATTCAACCCATGGACATCATTCTAAGTCTAATAAGAATCAACTCTTCTGAGAATGGACCTCGTTCCAGTTCCAATACATGACATCAATCCATGTATGATTGTTATAATCATAATCATGATTAAATCTATTACCAGGCGGATGCTCTCAACAGCTACATGCGACGTGGTTCTCATTTCATATTGGGTGAGGCTTAGCACCTGTAGGCGTTGCAAGTGAGCACCGCCATGACCCCGTGCTGGTGGTTGGCACTTTGCATCGTTTATTCTCCCCGTGGTGTCCCAACTGACCCTTTTGGGGCTCCAACCGTAATATGCTCAGCAGGTGGTTAGAACCCCCAAACCCACCCCGACCACCTTCTCAGGAGGTAGTTGGAGCCCTAGGTGAAAACAGCTACTCCTTAAACAATAGGAGACACTCATCAAAACAACATGTGTTGCGACGGGAGCCGTCACCATCGGCATGTGGGGGACGACGGTTCACTGGTGACGCTCAGGTGACCAAATCCGTGCAAGAAAACACGATTCATCCACGGCTTAAAGAAGAAAGACATGACTCATCAAAAAATACAAACGTTTCTCTCTTTTTGAAAAAAAACAGCAAAATCATGACCAAGGCATACCAACGTTCTCTTCTTTTTGAACAACAACTAAACAAAAAACAAAAAAAACAAAGGCCAGCACCATGGCACCATGTCGATCTGAGTACCCCAATTCTTCACCGGACCTCCTGGGGATCCGCACATCTCTGAAAACCATTGGATGTAGCATCGGAGGATTGCAGAGCAGCAGTTAATGAAGATCAAAATGGTGCCTCGCTTCCAAACGCGCGCGATGACTCGACTCGCTCGCAGCTCAACTCGCAAGTCGACTCGCAGTTGTTTCTTCCAATGGAACTTTGGTTGATTTCTCTGGATCCTTCAGGCTGGGGCATTTAGGAGTCGACAAGGCAGGCATACTTTCCAGGTTCCAGTCTGACATAGTCTGACTGATGGGTCAATCTCAAAGACCTCAAAGCCGCATGGGGTTGACGTTCGGGCCTTTTTGGTGTCTTTCTTGGAACATCTTATGATGAAGCTCCTCGTCCAATGCCCAGGAAAAAACATGAAGCTCCTCATCAACAGAACAAATTGAACAAACGTTGAGTCATTTAGTTTAGTTTTCTTTAACGAGCTCCTGTATTTAAACATTATGTCTTTGAAGGATTCCCCCAAAGTACACACGTTGACATGTTTATCTGAATTGGAGTAGGTTTTCGGCATTGCTTTCCCTCCCGTTGCATCTGTGGCGCTATTGAGAAAGAGGAAACCTCAGCAAACCGCAAGACCCGAAGCGAACATCCTGCAGAAAGGTCCGGGAGTTGTGTTCAACCATATAGACACCATCAAGTGAGCAGCAAAGATTTTGCCGTATATCACATGGGTATGGATGATATAGATGGGGGGATTGCTGTAGCCCGTTTCTGGCAACCAATGGGCCGGTTTCTGTGCTTTTCCTTGATTTCACTGCCTCAAATCATACTGTGTAAAGGTGTCTTAGCTAGGTGTCCCAAAGTGTCTCAGCTGCTCATCAACGCACCAGCCTCATACGGAATCCTCACGGTTTGCTACCAGTTTCGAAACATTCGACCCCTTCATAATGACATGAACGGACACCTCTTTGTTTGGAACGGTGTCACCTTCTGGACACGCCAGTACATGGTCAAGTGGGCCCGTTTTCTACACGAACGGCTGCCCAGTTCGATTCTTTCTTTGGGGCAATGCTTTTAGTTTGAATTCATTCTCTCCTGAGATTTCACATACTGAATATCATACAGTCTCCGGACTGTCTCCTAAAACACTGTCACGAGGATCATTTATATTGTCAGATGTAACATTTAACATCAAGGACCTTCAAAGTGACCCTTTGATATCCCAGGATGAGGTCACTTAGGTCTGTAAACGGTCACTTAGAGACTCCAAAGAGGTCATTTTGAAGGTCCTGGATTTAGGTTCTTCAGTGCTTCAGCATTGTTCCATCAGGAACTGAAGAAGTCACAGCCAAAGACCCAGCTAAACCAAGACGCAGTGCCAAAGAGCAAAGGCCTCAGGTGGATGGTAACGCCCGCCATATCAGCGGATGCGTTCCGATCTTCGCAAACACAGGACCTTCATAGTCTGAATGAGTTTCTGCCATCCAAGAAGATTCCGTACTTGGAGGCCATCGTTAGTAGGTTGGAAGGCCCTCTTTTGGGCTGGAAAAAGATGGGTTAAACGCTGTGCGGAAGGGACTGCCGTTATTCTTTCCCGTGATTTCTTCTCCAGCGGCCCTTGCCAAACTGGGCAGATCCAAACCCTCAAAAGTCACCCACTTGGTGAATGGCCGACATCGCAAAAAATGACAGACATCTCAATCAAAAGCTGGGCTGTATTCACTCTGAAAGGGATTGGAATATGTTTTTGTTGGGCTGTACATTATCTTGATCTACAGCAAAAAGCCTTACAATACCATACAACACACTAGAATACCCTTTCAAGAATACAAACAATCACTCATGGTAACCAGATTCTGATCCAGGTCTTTCTTGTCTGGTTTGAAGTTTGCGGCAAGACTAGTTGTTCGACACCTTTTAGAGAAACACCAATCACGAAAGGTTGACTCCTAGACTGCTACCCACCCGTCCATGCTTACTAAGCTTTCGTTAACCCCCCTTCTCTCAAGTCCAAGACTTGCCTTGATTGAGGTGCTCATTCAGGATAGGACTTAGCCAAATGATATCCAATGATGGAAATCTGAGAATGGGCCAATGCCAATCACATATGCTGGCACTGGCTCTCCAGCCTACATAACAACACATAGATGTCACACGACATATAAATCCAATTAGCCCTTTAGGTTGCTATGCCTAAGCACCCTCCACTTCGCCCGCCGATGACCAGCGGAGTGAAACAGCCACACCCACCCCGCAGTCCATCCCGGAGGAACACTTTGAGGGATTATGATATAATAAGTCCATCCCTATTCAAACACTTGTTCTCCCCTACTCCATTGCCAAAGCTTTTTTCATATTGTTTTTGTTATATAATTGCTTTCGTACTTGTCACAGAACCCTAAGAATCCGGGCCCTCAAACACATAGACTCTTGAGCCTATGGAGGGTCCGACCACTGGCATGGAGAGCCCAAGGCTCCTTATAGGGAATAAACATGAATAAACCATTTTCCAATTCCTGGAGGCTTGCTGTACATCTGCACAACCTGCCTTGCATTGTTAGCCTTTCACCCCTTTTCACCGCACTCCAGAAATCCTCTCCCCAAACCGCGGGCGCCTGGACCGCCCGCCCAGCACCGTGAGTCCGCCGAGGCACGCCGGCGGCCCAGGAGCGTCCCACGTTCGCCAGGCTCAAATGCCCCCAAGTGGGGATGATGTAACCAATGACTCGGGGGTCGCGCGAGCGCAAAACGCCGCTACGACACCGAGACAGCGGGATGTTTGTTCCGTGATGTCTGGGGAGGACAGAATCAACGGCAGGGCTGACAGAAACAGTTGTCGTATGTTGTCGTGTCCTTCGCTTTGGAGTTTTTCAACTCGGAGTTCTCTAGCTAGTGTAAAAACGAGATTCAGGTTGTGGATTGATTTGAGAAGCATGCATCCTTGGTGCATTTATGTGCATATACAATGAGAAACTGGTATGACAACCATTAACAACCCCTTTCTCACAGCACCCAGCCTAGCGTCCACCTTGTGACACACTGACCAACTTGGCAACCCCGCAGCGTTTAAATGATAATGCCTAAAGGATCCTGGATATGAGGCAACGGCAACCCTGCAGTGGCACCACAAAGCAGTTTGACCACCCCTTGTATCCAGCAACCAAGTCTTTTGGAGACCCCCCCCGAAAGACTTGCTGCGGACGATCTCCGAAGTGCAGGAAAAGCTCCATGTCCCACCAGCTGTCCAAAACGCAGGAGGATTCACGGACGTCTCAAAAATGCCCAGTGGCAAAGCCCGAGACGAAAGCACAAGCTGAGCTTCCTCGGCGAAAGCGATCTGTTCATATTGACTATCTGGGAGTGGCAACTTGACTCCTCCAACTCCAATGCCTACTTCCTATTCTGTATGCATTCTCCCGCACAAAGCATGGCAGGGTTGGTCTATCTGAATCCCATGTGCTGCAAACTGCATAAGCAAGGAGAGCAACGAGAAACACATAGAAAAACCACACACACACATACAGCTGGCGCGTGCTGGAAACTCGATCTGATTACTGGTGTTCGTACTTCCCTGCTCGATCTGCTTGACTGGTGCTCGTCTGGTCCCTCTCACAAACCCCCAATGGCTAATCCAAGACCAGGCCGCTCGGGGTCGCGCTCCTCCTCCAGATCCTCATCATCCTGAAGCACCGGACAAACACCGGGTCCCTCGGGTGTCCCGGAAAGGAACGGATCCGTCCCGGGGCGGAGAGGGTGGATCTGGTGTTGAAGCACCGCTGTGAACCGCCGGATGATCCGGAACCAGAACGGCCTATGAGGATCCCGTTTTTCTTTGGGGCCGGAGCGACGTGTGGATTCGATGATCCAAAGAGAGAGGCGAGCTTGGAGGCCTTGGAGATTTTCATGCGGATGTTGCTTGGAGTGATCTTGCTTTGAGGCCTCAGCCTGCAACCGATCCCGATCCCCCGTGACCGACCCGGTTGTGGAGCCGGTGTCGCACCACTCACTGCACAGTGAACATGTCCTGAGATGGTGAAGAACCAGTTGCTCCAAACACCAAACACACGCAAAGCTCCCCCAGAGAGATTACTTGTTCTTAAAGTCTTTTCAAGGTGTTTTCTATATGTGTTTTCTATGTTTGGATGTGTTCTTTTCTAAGTCTTAAAGCTCTAACAAGCTTGGGATTCTTCACCGCTGCTTGGGCAAACCTCACCCCCCCCAACCGGTTCCCCCACCCCTCACCTCCTCGGACAGCGAAAGGTCGCCTGAAAAACGACGGACGAGTAGCGAAAGGTCGCCTTCGAGGGACCCAGCTTTTGATATGAAATGGGACAAGAGTGACTGGAGCCATTTTTGGCTAGTAACAGGAAGCTACCAATTAGGTGGAGTCTACTAGGAGCAAGGACGCTACGAACGTAGCTCCTGGCCTTACTGCTAGTAACAAGAAGCTACGCACGGTATTGATATCATGTTCGGGGTGTCTGGCACAAGCTCTGGGGCTGTGATGGATGAACCGAACTCCAGGCCACGCAGAATCGAAAGCGCAGGCCTTGCACTCCCCAAGGCTTGTTCTTGCCGCTTCAATCACCCCCTATAGCCTATAGTGGTATCCTATTCGGTGCGGGATAGAATCCCCCATCCCATGTTGGAGGACATCAGGGGACCCCTTCAAAATAAGGATCATGTATACAGCAAAAGAGTTGACTGGGACAACTTCCGGGACCAATATTTCTGGGTGCACAAAGTGTCCAAACGATGATCTGATGGTAGCGCCAGCCCCACAATGAGACTTCACGATGGCATTACAGTAGTCCTTTCACGAAAGAAGGAAGCCAAACTCAGCGCGAAGGTGTATTCAACAAAAAGTTGATCTTTTGACATGGACCGGAGCTCCACAAGGGGTGTCTATTAATGGCCCGGGTCCTGGAATGGACCAAACAGTTTTGGACCATGCAACGTATTTAAGCGAAGCAAAGTAAGCCTAGCAAACCAGTGAAGGCAACACATAGCAACCCAGCTGACTTCGGTGAATTGCCCAACCCAGCTGATTTCGGTGAATTGCCCCAAACGGAATCACCGGGAACTCTTGAACTTCCCCCTGGTCCACCTGAACTGCTGCGAGTGAAGCCACCTGCACGGCAAAACCACGCGAGTGCAGGTTTCGTCTCACATGGAGTGATCAGAAGTGGCTTCTCTCTGGTACAAGGGCAAGATCTTCCCCAACTATAGAGCTCCAAACCTACTAATTAGCTAGCAATGGCCTCCAAGCTAATAGCAATGGCCTCCATCCTCCATCCAATTCTGTTCAAACATCCCATTCTTCCCCAACTCTTCCCCAATTCTCATGTTGCGTCTCCCAAACATATTGGTTGTAGCGCCACACCTAGGTATGTATCCACCGCTTTTTGTCACTGCACGGCCACATGGTTGCAAAGCGGATTGTCTCAACGAAACGGGAGACTTTTCGTGAGCCAAAACCTTCCCCCCTGGCGTTATACTCGTTCCATCTCATGTATTTCTCAATCGTCCGGCTATGAAGTACCTCCCACGGCCAAAACAGCTTGGACGTCCCCGTGAAACCAACTACTTTGATCTACTTTGACCATCTGTAACAGCACCAGCCTCGTGTTTGAGCATGTTCCAGCGCAGCAGTGGATAAGCTCCGCAACATCTTCGATCGCCATGAACAACCAGCGGTTCCGATGGGGTTCGAAGAGTTTTGCTCGGTGTTGCAGGTGGTTTTGCTCGGTTTTGGATCTAGGGTCGCAGGTGAAAACACTGACTCAATCATTTGGATGCAGCGTCTAGGCTGAAGTCGACTTGTGCACGTGCGAACTCAGAAGCCTGTAGAAGGATAAGATCTACTCCGTGGTCGTGAGTTTGAGTTGATCTGAGGAAATCTCCAGATAAAGTAACTTTTTGAGTTCCAAAGAGGCGCTGAATATTGTTCTTTGAGTCTGATACCAGCATTAAGCATTTCTCTCCTGATTGCTCCATTCACAGCTTGGAAAGCAGCTCAGAAGCCCAATGGCTTCAACAAGACAAAAGTGTTGGTGTTTCTAGACGCTTCGACGGCACAATCTTTGGAGCTTTGGAGCTACTTGGACACGGATAGATGCAAGCTGCCTTGCCAATCCTGCTTCCATGTAGACAGCTTCTCCTCGCCCAGGTTTATTGAGAGCCTTTTACGTCGTTCGCAAAAGTTATTGTTTGCGTTCGGGGAAGTGAAGAATTGCGCATTTAGATCAACCACCACATGGATTTGGGCAACACAGCACCTCCTTCAGCCTTACTGTCCCACAATGATAGACTCAAAGCACCCAGTCGATGAAGCAAATCACACTTTTGCGTCTCCTGCTCTCTCTGTGCGTACCCAAATAATATCTGCAAGACACTTATCATGAAACATAATATAGACCTTCCTCACAATCTACCCCAGAAACGCGGTCGATGAAACCACACCCACCCAATTAGGCAAATGCCGCTGCTTCGCCCCGTTTTGGCTGCTTGGTGAGACGGCGCGGGCTGTGCGCCGCGCGCTTCGCGCAGAGCCTACGAGGTGCGACGAAACAGAAGCGGTATCGTTGACTGGGTTGGTTATGGTTGGTTCGCTTCCAGCGGATGCTGATGGTTGAGATTTTTAGGAATCTCAATCTTGATTAATCTTGTGACTGGTATACAGTATACACACCATACATATATAGATGCAAAGGTGTCCAAATTCGAGTAGTTCCTGAGCTCTGTGAAAATCCCCGGTGTGCCCCATGACCTGGGAAACGGACACAGCAAGCAAAGAACATGTGCATCCTTTCCTTGTTCCTTTACCTTAAATGAATATCAATGAATATAACTCACCCCAGGCTCTGAAATATCAACAAAGGTTAAGTGATCTTATAGGACCCGTCACCTGGGGTATCCAACTGGGATAGTCGAACGTTCGGGTTCTGACCCACCTCTGCTGGTAGAACTCCTATCAGTTGCATCCTAGTCACCTCGCCCCGTGACGGTGCGGTGTATGCTGAAAACGACCTGGCTGGGCATCCACTGGCCATGGCTTCGGAACACATCCACTACACCAACGGATCGGTCAAACAACAATGAACACAGCCAGGGCACCAATAGGGGCCAGCGATGACATGCCCTTCATTGATACGACCCAGTATCTGAATGCGTGGAATATGTTGAACATATCATATCTCTCAAGAGAGCTTTGTTTGTCAAACAATGAGTACCTCTCAGAGTTGCATCCAGAGACAACAGCCAAAATCACACCCCTCTGCGCATCCATTCGCCCAACAAAAAAACCTTTCACCGAACGCGTTCGGCGATCGGTTGTTCTAAGTGGACGGACCCTCGCTGGTCTTCAGCGGGTGATAGTTGTCTATTCACCGGGTGTGGCGTACGTTGTTTCAACTACTCGAGAAAACTCACGTTCAATTCCTGCTGTTGGTCCTGGAAAAGAAAGGTGAATGAAACTTTCCACCTGTTTTTCAGTTTAGTGGGGAAACCATCAAACCATCACCAAAACAGGTTAGAGGATGTTGAGGGACTTGTTAAGGGTTATCCACTGACTGGGTAGACTCAAAAACTAGCCGGAGATATTGCCCAGTTAGCTGCCTGTAATCCTCCTGAGATCAGTGCTCAACCTGCTATTCTGCTCCCATAATTGTGGTTCAAGACCATCCTGACGATGCCCTTTAGAAGTACTTTCACCTCCAAGACCATTTTGAGGATGTACATGGACCCAAGAACCCTAGGGAATGACTGGAATCTCCGGACTCAGTATGATGAGAGCATCCTCATGTGATACTTTTCTAGAACCTCGTCCATTGCCATGTTTGCCGCGAAAAAACGACAATCCCCGGTCTGCCATGTCTATCACTAACTAGGCTAGCTCCATTCTGGTCGATCCAATCTTCAGTGTACGGAGCAGTCTAGGCCTAGGCCAAACAAATCCGCACGCAAACTACACCTGGCCAACGCTGTGAGTCGGAGGATATTTGGAACTTTTGGTGTAAGGTTCAATTCCTGCGGAATGGCCTCCTGGAAATCATTTGGCAAACGACGGCTTGGAGCTTCACACTCGGTGAGATGCTTCGCGACAGGTGCGCAAAAAGCAAACTTCAGACGAAATCTGAGCACCGGGGTTTTCTGAAGAGTCGCGCCCCCAAACTCCGGAAGTAGTTCCTGAACTCCGAAATCACAAATCCCTGCTGGACCTGGAGCTGTCCATATCAGGCTTCACCCAAAGGCCCCTCGAAACCCAAGGCGTCGACACATCGACTCGAGTGACCCGGTTTGCGCGAGCTGGAAAGGTCGAACGGGTCGAACTGGGGATCGTCCCATAGTATCAATGAAGTGCAGCACACCTTCCCATAAAATAGCAAAACACAGACACACACACACACACTAAATCAACCATGAGCAAATAGTGAACCATATATGAAAGGACGTGCAAAAAACACAAGAACGGGTTGAACGTAGGTTCCACGTCTCCCATGTTTTGGGCGCTTCATGGATTCAATGATCCATGGGAGGGAATGAGGGGGGTCCCACACCGTATTGTTTCTTTGCGCGCCAAGCCTGAGAGGGGGAAATCAGTATAGAACCAATGATTCCGAACAACACTGAATATTCAACAATCACATCAAACAAAAAAACACAAAAAATACTGATTGGAACAAAGAAAATAAAGGCAATAAACCGTCCCAAGGGTTCCCGGATACCTTCTTAGAAGGTGTTTGGGGTTCGTGGCCCGCCTGAGCAGGACTTAGGTCCAAACCCACCCACAGCCGAAGTTGGAATTTAACGCAGATGTGGTGCTCGTCAAAAATAATCAATTGTACCCTTTGAGCCACCAGCATGTTCCATGTACTGCCTGCCACCCTCAAGCTGCCCCGCTCAAGTCGTGGTTTTCTCGCCAACGACGGGCTTCACTGCCACACGGCGCGGCACCTCAGTTGGCATCGAAGTTCTCCAAGTTGCTGCTGGCACATAACCTGAGTAAGGCCAGGGTTTGCAAAATGATTTCGTGGTTGTGTCAGCACAACTGGCTGCAGTTGGTTCCCAACACCCGTATAGACTACATCAGATTCTTGGATGTTTACGCAGTATAGCGAAAACACTAGATCAATCTAGCGCCCCAAGTATATTCCAAGCGTGTTTTTGAAGCAAGTACCCTACAAAGGTACTTGGAGCCCTATATGGAGTCGGGCCGGCCAACTCCACGTCCCAGTCTGGTCCAAACTCCGTGCATCGATTTGTGGGTCATGGTTTCCTGATCCAGGGCTCCAAGTGCCCTATAGATTTATCCAAATCTTTGTTTTTGGGATGCTTGGGGGTCCAGGTTAAGACATCAAATTTGAGGAGGTACTTGGGGGCCTAGGGCAACTGTTTGTGCCAAAGCACGGTCACCGATGCGAGCCTCACAGATCTTGCCAAGCCTGAGAGGTAACTGCTCTGAGCGGTCCATCAAGGTCACGTAGAGTGGCACCAGTCCCCTTCATGCAACCAAAGAGTCACAACAGGTGGCCATCCGTTCTGCCACCAGCTTGCTAGGTAGAAACCACTTGCCACTTGCCTCACCCATGCAGTGCCACTTGTGAAGCTCGTTCCCTGCGAGGCAAGCTGCGGGTGTCCACGCGGGGGTGTGGGGGGGGCAGTGGGTATTGGAAATCGAGGTCGGAAAGGTTAATGCCCTCCGACGGGGGGAAGGTGCTGCCAAGCACAATGAAAGGGCCTTGCAATGGCCAGTGTGTAGTGCAAGGAAAGCACATCAATGCAAGAAGCTACAAATACCACCTGGACACTCAAGAGGGTGAGTCCAATTGTCGCTGATGGGCGAGCAGCTGACCGGAGGGCATGAATGTGGAGGTCCGAAGGCAAGTCGCAACTCGAGGGCACACTCGACTCGATGTCCAACAAACCCTAGTGGTACAGATCATCTCTCACAATGAGTCCAAGATTTCACGCTGAGAGCAGGTCATACGTGTCGCACCGATCGATATCAATTCATGATCCAAGAAAACCTCAAAGTCTTTCAGGGGCGGGATCCCTTGTGGCAACACGTGTGGGGGATGGACATCATCACCTCCTTGACCACCTCATAGTTGAACACCAGGTCTTTCTCAAAGACGCTCGCCTGAGATTGGGGTGCAGGGATATCTGCGCAATTCAACCTGACATATGCCCAGGCACGAGGATTTCATCCCCTCCCAGCTCCACTCAATGATCCATGTCCTCAGGCCCCCAAAGATATAATCCGAATCCAGTATACGTCAACGGAAAGCTGAGATCATGTTGACACAATCCAGGATTTGGGGCATGCAGGTCTTGATGCCGCCATGGATGGCCAAGCCAGTAGCCTCATCGATCAGTGGTCAATGATATCGATAACCTCCGATGCCTCCGATCCATCTAGACTCTGCATGGTCTTTTATGTGGTTCAACGCACAAATAACTCGCCCGAGTGACACTCAGCTTGAACCTCAGGGGACGCACCACCATCCCACCATCCAGAGGGCTTGCAATGAGTGCCATGCCACCATGCACCGACCGCTAGGAAGCAAGACTGTGAGCAAGTCGTGGCAGCTACGTGCAGTCACAACCTCTAACCATCTCACCCCCCTGACCTTTCATAAATCCCATGCAAATAATGTCGATCTAGATTGCTTCTTTGGTCCTCCAAAGCATGACTTCGAAATTGTCAGACTGTCAAAGTCAAATAAAGCGCTACAAGATGTTTCAGGGGCGCACCACGTAGTGCAACATCCCTTCCAAGGCCCATGGCTCATCGATCCGAGATCAGGCGGATGTTGCATGACCGTGAGATGGTTGGCCGGTTGGTGGCTTCTCTTTGTGTATACCAAACACCCTCCATGCTCGTGAAATGCGATGTGAGCCAGAACCTGCTCAGCACGTGTCTGGAGTCGGGACGCCTTCTCAACCAACTTTGGGTCTGGACCCATTCTCGGAAGACGAATTCCCAGATACCATCTGAGAGATGCTCTGGAGGACTATGGGCATATTGATTCACCACCTTCGTCCGATCCAAAGAAGCGGAACCAACAGCTTCTGCTCGACCCACGATGGGTTCTCGTCATGGCGCTCGTTCTTCAGAGGATTGGACGGCCGATCCAAGGGATTTGGCCAATTATCGCCGCGGTTTTCTTCGGACTGGAGAAGGGTCGAACGGATGGAAGGTGCTGGAAGGTGCCTTGGGAAACATGTCAGGTTTGGGGATATCTTTGGATGGTACAGGTGTCAGGTGACCATTTATCAGCGTTGACCGATTGCTTGTTCATGAGAGGGGGGGGGTATCCAGTCTACTAAGTCTATAAATCAACCAACCCTTATGGTACAAAAGGCCATCGATGGATGGAAATTCCGATAACTGCATCATTTGGAAGACTTGCACCAAAACATGTGACTTTGATGAAACAACACACCACACGACTCGGTGAAGGGCACACCATCAACCTCTCGTTTCCCAGTTGAATCCACTTCGCTTTGCTTCAGCTTCACCTCTCTCCACTCCTTTCGCAGGTTACCCGACGTCACTTCAAACCGAGTCCAAGGGCGCCCCTGCACCGGGCGTGGCGGACGTGGCAGACGTGGTGGGTTTCCACTGTTGCAGCAAACCTGATGCAAGTCCCATGAAGTGTACCTGAGAGGGCCTTCTGAGAAGTGTGTCAGGCTCTTCAAGGAGTAGCCAGGCCATGTTTAACAACTGCCAATTAACCACCACAAAACAAGTACGCACAAAACAGGGGATCAGCGTCCTCATCAAGTGGAGATGAAGTCCAAGCTCATACCAACTCCCCAGGTCTCAAGGAAAGGACTTCAAACCGAAAACGCGAAGCAGCCCACACCCAAGCCGTGCCACTTCAACCATTGTTGGGGTCCTGTCTTGGATCGGATCCGCCCTCACCATGTCTCGGTACGTGTGGTGCCCCCCCTGCCACGCAGCTCCCGCTTTCGCCGCCCACGCTCGGCCTGAGACCACTCATCGCGTGCCGGGACGCGGGACGGCCGCCTGGCACGGCCCAAATGGCCGGCCAACGGGAAGTGGGCCGTGGGCGGTGGATTTTGTTGGGTCAAAGGTCACTGACTTGGGGACTCCCAAGTTCGGTGAACCACCGAAGGCTCTCAGATGTTGCGATGCTGGGATGCCTGGCATATTCCCGGTTGCAGGAGGACCTTGTTGCAGGGTCAACAGGACCTATAAAGCAGCAACATGTGAGAATCAACCTGCTGATGATGGTTCGGTCGCTTCCTTCCGGCCAGAGCTGTGTGCCCTGAACAGAGTACCGACTTGTGCAAACCGCGAGCGTATTCTGGCATGAGACTGGTACAAGTGTTCCATATAAATATAGATCTATACGCACAGTTTGGTTGCACTTGTAATACTTTTAGCAGCATATGTATGTCCCTGCTTCAAGACAGGACCATAGAAAGCGGTAGAACGACAACTTTGTAGGAAAATGATCAGGTAAACACAAATGTCTTTCCCACCAAACAATGGAGAGATTAATCCCCACAGCTACTTTTAAGTGTTTGCGGTTGCATCATGTTCTAGGTTTCATTGCGATCCTCCGGGTACAAAGTAAAGTACATCATCATCAATCATCAATCAGCAAGTCATTGGAGAGGCAACTTGGTTTCAGCATCAGCTGCAATTCGGTTTCAGCACCCCTCCACACTCCCCTCCACATCTCTGACTGGACCTGTTTGGAAAGACAACAGGCTCAATCTGCATCACACTCACTGATGAATCAACAGTGATTTCCATTGCTAAAAGCGGCCCGAACAAAGCTTGAAACTACGATAAAACTGGGACAGTTCCAATTTCATGCCAAACATGAGGTAAACACGACCTTTTGCCTCAACATCATCCCTTGACTCAGAAAAACGGCACCCCAAGAAACCTCCTCTTCTTCCAAAAAAATGCCCAACACCGAAAGCCCAACGGTATACCACCCCTGGCACCTGCGTCGTCACGACGCCAGAACCGGTTCCGCCCGGTTCCGCCGACTGCGGCGTATGTCTGGCGCTCTTGGGGGGCTCCGGAGTCGTCCAGGGCGAGGCGGGGCTGCTCCGGCTGCTCGCGGCCTGGCGCCGGTGCCCGCTCCGCGGAGTCCGTCCACGGGTTCCGGTGGAGAAGGGGCCAAACGGCTGGTTCGGAAAGCGGAAGAGGGCGTTTTGGGGGTGCAAGCTGCAGAGAGAAGGTGGGAACATCAGGCTGGAGGAAAGCAAGCTTTCGGTGAGAAATCAAAGAGCTTGAAGGCGGCTGAGGCTTGAGGAATCGTGCAACAAAAGAGATGAGAAGTCAACCTGAGTCAACCTGAGTCAACGAAGTTCGGACAATGCACTTGGTGGGTCACCCAAACTGCTGGATTCTTCTTCGACGGAGCGACCTCGGGGGCGAGGGATCAAACAAAAAATGAATCAACAAATAAATAAAGTTCAGGAGATCAAGAAAAAACAAACATGAATCAAAAAAAACGTAAACGCACCCAAGCGTGCAAAGGGAAGAACAATATTCCATTAACGGGCGGGGGATCAAAAAAAACAAATATATTTCAGTGTGATCAAGAAAAAGCAAGCATAAACGGACCCAAACGTGCAGAGGGAAGAGCTATATTCCATTGACGGGCGGGGGATCAAAAAAAAAAAAGTGAATCAACAAATCAACAAAATAAATATATTTCAGATTATTTCAGTGTGATCAAGAAAAAAAATAAACATAAAAATAAACGGACCCAAACGTGCATTCGAAGCAGTGATCAAAAGAAACAATCAAACAAACAGGAAAGTCACATGAAAGGAAAATGAAAATGACAGAAAGAAGGAAGAAAGAATGAACGAGTCAATGAACGAATGAAATTAATGAAATGACAACGCGCAACAATTAGAAGCGGGAGGGGGCGCGGGGGAGGGCGCAGCGCCTCCCCCACAATGTAACTTGGCACGACCAAGAAACAAATATCATGGAGTTTCCCAAATGAATCTTCCTTTGATAACTGCAATGGGCTCTGCGCTGGGCACCTGAGCAAAGTTTTGCAACATCGCATTTCAATTTCACAGCCTTCCTTCCTTCCTTCCTTCCTTCCTTCTTCCTTTCTTGCTTCGTTCCTTCCTTCCTTCCTTTCTTGCTTCCTATCTTGCTTTGTTCCTTCCTTCCTTCCTTTCTTCCTTTGCTCGGTTCTTTCTATGTTGTTTTGTTGATGCATTTTTACTCTATTTTGATGCATTTTTGTTTATGTAATGATGCATTTTGTTTTTGATGCGTCTCCCGTCGACACGCAGCACCTGGCCTGTTGGAGTTTCCACAGTGTCAGCAGCTCTCCCTGCGGAGCGTCCACGGAACAGGGCAGGTCTGAGTGGAAAGGCACTTGAACACTGAAAATTTTAGGTGTGAGGTTCGATCTCCGACAGTGGAAAGGCAAAGCAGCCCTGATACTCAACTATCTTTTTGGTCAGAACATGTACTGTATCAGTATCAGTACTGTATCTATACTCATGTGCTGATCGCCTGCTTAGCTGCTTAGCCATGCTCACTCTGAAAATCCATCTGAGAAGCACTTTGAAGCGATCACATCAAGAAGGACTTTGCACTCACAAAAGTCTCGTGCTTTGCAAGTCTCGTGGTGTATGATGAGGCTGAGGTATAATTTGCAGGAGCAATCAGCCAGAAGACAGGAAGTCTCAAAAGAAAAAATGGAGCTTGGCGTACTTGAGCACTTGAGTACCCATCCACAACAAGATGAACCCTAGACCGTACATCAATTTATGTCTTGAAATGACTGCTTGAGGTTGTTCGCCCTCCACACCCATGAGACCTTGAAAGTGTTTGACCATCAGCTTTGATAATCTCTTTGACCTGCCAACCTTCCGACCCGTCCACCCCGTCCATGAACCTGCCCTCCCCATCTTTTCTCTCAACCGCTCGCTGCAGTTGGAGTCTCCATCTCCTTTGACGACGATGACCTGTGCGACCACGGCCCAAGAGCCCTTCCCGAGCTGTTGCGATCTGTCGAGAGTTGGGACACCTGATAGGACCTGCCAAGCAAAGGCATGGCATACAGAATCTACTATAGGTACCAGATTTTGTGAACCGGATCATGTTGGTGCATTCCGAAAAGACGACCTAAACGCCGCCCCAGCGTCGTTGCAGGGCGAGTTCCGCACGATGTACTCAGCCACATCCTGGGCAGGGCGAGCGTTTCCGTCTCGAACAGGGCGGTGGAGGTGGAGGTCAACGGTGCCACCCTGCGAATGGACCAGATGACGGCAGCGTGTTGACGGACATAGACTACGGAGGGGACCCATTTTCTGGTCGATGCTGGAAGGAATTCCGAAACACATGAGAAAACACTGAGAAGCCCTTTGGATGTCCAGTGACAAAATGGCATCGACTTCAGTGTGTCGGTGTGTAGCTTTGAAGGGAACTCCAGCTTTAGAGTTATCAATAGTTATCAAGCAAACGGCTCTGGAGAGCTTTGTTTGATCAAATATGGCCTAGTTTGCTCCCAAAGTGTAGCGTTTACCTCCCAATCCTCACTAGCCTTCGCAAGATGCATTGCTGATGAACATGCACTGCCAATTCTCAATCCCTGGCTGACATCAATATCTCAGAAGGTTCTTATATTCATATGTCTGAAACAAATCTGACTGCTTGTTCCATGTGCAGCCGTCCACATAAGTCGTCTACAGACCGACCAGTCCCAACTGAGGAGGCCTTCGATTCAGAAGCCGAGCGGCATACTGTTTGTGAGGATCCACCAATTTGGTCCTAGCGACAGAAATAACGCGCAAGGTCGGTGTGCTCTCGGAGATCTAGAACGGAACAAGAGGTATTGACAAATGAGGGCAGGCTTTTGGTCTTAACTAGACGAGAAGCTGAGAAGAGGGACTAATGACTCTTCTTGAGCTCTCTTTGCACTGCCAGCTTGGTATCCAAATAGTTGAAACATTCATAGTTCATCACCATGCATGAAACTGCCTCAGATTCAAAGTCCTGGCAACCATACTCCAAACATCACCGGACCAGAACCCTTGGACCTTTGGAAGGTTTTTTGGGCCATCTCAGGAAAGTGACCCCCTTTTTCACCTGCCCTCTCATCTTGTTTTGTAGAAATGCCAAAGGCTTTGGAGCATTTCCGCCACCACCAGTTCTTCCCCCCCACCGGCAAAAGGCACCACTCGCGGCACGCGGAACGCAGCTCGCTGCTCCTGTGCCGCCGTTCGTTGTAGCCCACGTAGATCACGTTGGGCCGGCGGATTTGAGGGTCGAAAACGCCTGGGTGGGCGCATGGGTTTTCGGCGAGGAGGTTTTTTGTGATCTGCCAGTTATAGGTTTCAGCCTGCAATTCAGATGACATCGGTGAATATCAGTGATGACGTGCTTTTGGGGGTGAGTCACGTGGCACTGGAATGAAAGTAAACCTATAAATAGCGATCGTTCTTTGTCAGAAAGCTTTCATAGCTTGATGCCCCCTGAGTGTTCATGAGCACACACGCGGCGACTCGCGACCCTTTAAGGGTGGGCGCCCCAATCGCTTCGACGCACGAAGTCCCGTGCGTCTCACCATCCACCCTGCGGACGTTCCGTGTCTCCTTAGAAACGTAAGTTGACATGGATCTTCTTGATGACGACATCGATCAACGTTTCTCGAACTGTTTTGTGCTATTCTTGATTGCTTTGCAATTGATGATCCTTCCCTAACCCGGAACCGATCTCCGCCCCTCGTTCCTCCGATCCCTCGGTCGACCTCATCGATCGACGGTGGGATCGTCACGGACGCGGGCAGCGCGGGGATCGGCGCGCGCCTGCGATGGCATCTCCCACCAGCTGTTTGTGCGGCTCCGGCGTTTCAGCGCCAGTGAAGACTCGGAAACGGACGCCCTCCTGGTGTTTTCGTGACTCGGAAGGGGTTTGAAGACTCGGAAGGGGGGGTGTTTTGGGGGGTTCAGATCATGTTGGGTATGTTGATGGATTTTTGGACCCATCTTAGGCGGGTTCAGGAGTTTGGATGAGAGGTGAGGATAGGCCAGGAGCTTCTATTTTTGTCGGAAGAACTGCCGCGAGTTTCTCGTCGAATCATGTCAAGTGTGTGCCGAAATCAAGTCCTCAGGACAGCATTCACTATAGACCTCTTGAGGTTTGGACCTAGTTAGCACTCCTTGCCATGTTGCTGCGCCACACGCTGGCTGGACTCAATGACGCGCGTCAAGGTGCTGTCCATGATGACCTCGAGAACGCTTGCAGTTCTGGTATGTTTTCTTCATCAGCTCATCTTCCATGAGTTAGTTCTGCTTGCAAGTCCACTATATATAAACACTTATAAGTATACAGTAAGCATTAAGCTAAACTTAATGTTGCTTAGTATAGGTGACTGAGCATCTGATAGCAACCTCACGCCTGCCGCATCCGCCACTTCGAGCGTTTTGCCGCGCCACTCCCACTCCACTCCGCGCCACTCCGCGCCGCCCGAGCCCGAGCCAAAGCGGCGTTGAGGTTGTCGTCGCAGACGGAGGAGAAGTGGGCCTCGTAGACGGAGCCACCGATCTCCAAAAAGGGATTCACGGGATAGTGGATCGCCACCTGAGGCTGGAACTCACCCACGCACGAAAAGAACTAGTGAGCTCCAGAACTTCTCACATCCAAAAGATGGCAACTAAGAACACAACAAATGACATGAACGAACGATCATGCAATGAATTGATATAATATGATTATATGACCTTTCTTGGTGCTGAAGTGAAGACGAACACTTCTGATGCTGAGAGGTGTTCGCTTCAGCATGAAGCACTTCACACTACAACATCGCACCAGTTCGCTACGACACTTCGCCTATTCAAGGGGGAAAAACATCCTCCAACGAAGCAAACTCTCACAATGGTGTCCCGAAGCTTCATCTGCCGGACAAATGTTGAACAACCAGGACCCTGGAAGTCCTGAAAGTCAAAAGGTAACTTTGAAAGTCCTGGAAGTCATGAAAAATATGAAAAAAAAACAAAGATCCATATGCAGCTTATTGTGTGACTCCCAAAAGCAAACAGTCTTCCAAAGGTGACCGTAGCCAAGGAGAGCAAAGCACACTTGACCCTGAAACCTGACCATCTTGATCCAGCAAAAACAACCAAAGCACCCTTCACCCACTCAAAACAAACTTGAACAATTCTCCGAAACCCCTGCAGGTCCCCACATCCACCACCACTTCATCCACCCTCCTCCACCAAAACCAAGCGACAGCTCTTCGACACGTCGCGACGAGGTCGCTCTGCCGAGACGCCACGAGGTCGCCCGCTTGCGCATCGTCGAAGGCACGGACCAGCGCGGCCGCCGAGGCCTTCCTCGTGGCAACCCCGCGCGGAGCATCGCCGAGCGGAGCGGCGGGTTCTGGGGGACGAAACGGAGAGGTTTTGCCCAATGGGATCGATGAGGTTTTTGTCATGTGTTCATTTGGAGTGGAGACACGGAGCGATGAGGACCGGAAAACGAACGAACGAACGACCTCAAGTCGACTTGACAGAGTCCCAAAATTGGCAAGAAATGTGAAAGATCATGTCAAGATTGTCAAGCCTATACTGAATTCTGATTAAGATTGATGAAGATGGATATTCAAAAAGGCCTTTGGAACAGTTTCTGTTGTTGCACTTTTGCTCGTCTCTCAAATCTCGAGATGCTTGAACTACATCGGCTGAAACATGCTGTTGCCTGCCGGTCGACCGTTCGCCTCTGGTACCAAGGCTCAAATTTCGGCTTGAGATGCCAACCCACCTAACAAAGGGGCTCGAACAAGTCGGCTGGTTGGGAGGATTGCATGAAAACAAAATCGCACCACTCCAAAAATAATAACACATGCCACACCCCAAAAAACACATGGTTTCTATATCCGATGCCCCTCAAGTTCCAAGGACAAATCTGGCCAGGGGCAGCAGAATAAACCAAAACATAAACATTGAACATTCATCGACCCATTCTTCCAGCCATTTGAGTGTCGACAGTAGTCATCTTGGAGGCCAAGATATCCAAACAGGTGATCCCTTGATAGGCACAGCACTAGGCACAGCGGCTTCCGGTGGGTGTCGTGAGAGCGCTGTGCTACCCCTTGGCCACGGATGGCCCCCTACTCAACACGAAGGACGGTGCATCCGGTGGATCCACCTCGGCCCGACGGATCTCCGGGGTCCCGAAGGGGGGGTGGCCCAACACCCAAAGCAGTCGGAATTCGGGGCTGGATTCTCTACATCGAAAAGAAATCCAGCCGGATCTTTGTTCGCCCAGTTTCGCAGGCAACTGACCAAGTCCTACCCATGAAATCATCGGCAAACAAAAACATCTCGGCAGGACTATCGTCCAGGTCGTCTCCCTGCCAAAAAAGGCCTGCAAAGTAAAAGTGAACTGATTGCGCCATGTTGCCTGCAAACCATGCTCTGTTGATCCGCTTTGATGATCCCCACATCGCAGGGAGCGTGCTGGACGATGTAGTCCTCAGCGTGCGTCAGGCGGAGGGCGCTGAGCGACGGAATTGGCACACCAAAACCCATGGTCCGAACTCGGAGGTTATAGAGTACAAGCTGTATAATACATTATAGACTATAGATTATAGATTCAACTGCCTACTGCAAGAAAAATAGCTTAATTCCTTACCATGACTTGTCCAAAGTTTGGACACTTCTCACTGTAAGAATATCTTATCCACTTCTCGCTGGCTCCTTGATGGAACATCTGAGGGCCTATGATGTGCTTTCGTGATCTTTCGTGTTCTTGCAATTTGGCCGCCTCCCGTTCTCAAACTGCGAACCAGCTCACGGTGAACTTGTGATAGTGCTGGACATGGTCGTAGCCAACATAGATCCTGCAGGTTTCAGATTCAGTTGCATCAAGAGCTGACTTCCGCAAACAAATGCAAACAATTGCATGCCTGATCCCCGCAACTCGATAACCCCTCCGCGGCCTGCGACCACTTTTCGTCATC